GTGCTTGTTTGCAATCTGCAGTCTTCTAGAACATCTATCCCCTCTTTAACCTTAGAGAATCCATTTTAATATATTTTATTGATTTTTTTACAGAGAGGAAGGGAGAGAGAGAGCTAGAAATCTCGATGAGAGAGAAACACCGACCAGCTGCCTCCTGCACACCTCCTACTGGGGATGTGCCTGCAACCAAGGTACATGCCCCTGACCGGAATCGAACCCGGAACCTTTCAGTCCACAGGCGACGCTCTATCCACTGAGCCAAACCGGTTTTGGGAGCACATAATGTTTTCTTGAGAGCCCACACTGTGACTTCTTCTTTATATTTCCCCCAAATCCTAGCACCAGGTGAACACATAGTAGGTCTGTGGGTGACGGAGGAGGGCCGTAGGGGGAGAGGGTTGGCCTGGTCTCTCCTCTCAGCAGTTGAACCTCCTGAGGAAGCTGAAGCCAAGGGCCTCCGCGGGGATGAGGACATGGGGTTCTTATCTCTGCCTTTCCTCTGTAAGCTGCCTCCTAGTGAGTCAGGGTCTCCGCTCGGGGCCCTGACCTTGACTTGTCCCTGCTCTTGGCAGGGCTCCTCCTCAATGGTCAGAAGAGACCGTTGTTGACCACTCTGAATTGTTGACCTCCCCCAGCTCCTGGAGGTTCATTCCCTGTGACAGGCTCTTAAGTGCCTTGGACCAGGCCAGTCCCTTCCAATGTAGGGACTTAGTTTCTCTATTGCTAAAGTGGGTGGGCAGGAGATGGTGGGATTTATGTTCTCTTTTTTTCTTCTTCAATATTTTATTTTAAAAATGTCTTTATTGATTAAGGTATCACATATTTGTCCTCATCCCCCCCATTCTCACTCCACACCCCTCCCCACGCATGCCCCCACCCCCCTGTTGTCCTTGACCACTGGTTAGGCTCATATGTATGCACACAAGCCCTTGGGTTAATCTCTCTCCTTTATCCCCACCCTCCCCTACACTCCCTCTGAGGTCTGACAGTCTGTGTCTCTGGGTCTGTTCTTGTTCCTTATGGAATCTTAAATACCTTGAAGTCCCTGACACTTCTCTCCCAGGTTCAGACCCGTGGTCTCCTGGCCCCGCAGCATGCTCTGCACTGGATGTGCCTAGCTCCCGGGGTTCTGTTGTGGACATGGGGATGAACAGTCCCCCTAGCAGAGTAAGTGATTTACAACACACAGCGCTGGCTTTCCCCACCCCACCTCCTGGGCCCAACAATAGGCCACTTCAGCTCTAGGCTCTCCCCAGGGGTGGGGGTGGGGCGAGGCCTGAGCCGGAATGCGGGTGACTGGCTGGGCGTCCTCTGCCCAGCCCGGGAAGAGCTCTGGGAGTGCCTGGCTGCTGGCACTGCATCCTTCCCTTCCGGGCCTTGGTGCCATGCTGGTGCCTGGGCCAGAGCCTTGGCACGGTGTGCGCGAGGCAGACCCCGGCGGCTGCAGGAATTCATCCTGCCACACTTGGCGGTGTTTGTGTTAGCGGGGGAGAGCGCTCCAGGAGTACATCAGGGCTCTCAGTGTCCTGTCTGAGTGTCAGGATTGGCATGCCAGTCTGGCTGGTGGAGCGTGGAACAGTTACAAAATACTCTCGAGACCAAGTTGGTACACGTGGGCGGCGCTGAATTCAGTGTTGGTCTGTGTCATGATGGTTAGTCAGATCCTTTCTTCTCTGACGATCCTTACACCTCTTTCTCCATGGTGGTCTGAGATGAGGCGTAGGAGAGTCCCTGTCTGATGTATCTGCCTCTGCTTCTGTGCCCTGCCTTTCCTCCGTCACTCCCCGTCCCCCTTCCTTCCCGCTTCCCCCCTCTCTTCCTCTCTTCCCTATCCCTGTCTCTCCTCCATTGAGAAGGCCTTCCAATGCAAGACTCCCCTTCCGCCTGAGTGACCCGCATGTTGTCCCTGGGTCCGAAGTGGCTTTGTGGGAGCAAAGCAGCTCAGTGGGTCTGGGACAAGAGCGGCTGTAATGGGTTTGGCAACTCCTCTTTCCATGGAGGTGCTTGCTTTACTGGATTTGAAAACATGGAGACCTTTGAAGGGAAATCATAAGAGATGGACAGATAGACAAGGAGTGGATCCTGAAGGGCCTTGTCTTTGGCTCCATGAGAAGCTACAGAAGGCATGAAGCAGGGGAGGGACCTCAGATCTGTGCTCAAATGACAATAATAACAATAGGCCACTGCGTGCCAGGTGCTGTGCTAAGTGTGCTACTCATGATCTCACGGGGTCTGCACTCCATGAGGGGGGTACGATTTGTCCCCATTTTACAGATGAGGAAATTGAGGCTTAGATGTTAAGTCGTTTGCCCCAAAGTTGCCCAACTAGAAAGGGACAGAGTCAGGATTTCAGCCCAGGCCTGCCCGTATTTTGGTCCCAGTGGTATTGATGGGAGGAATAATAAAGAGGCAGAAACAACAGGATTTTGTGGCCTGCCTGAGGTTTCTAGCTTGGGTGGCTGGTGTTGGCTTGTGATTTTCAATCAGGATACAAGAGCACCCATGAGCTCGGGCTAAGTGATTAATGATGACCTCGGTCTGGACATGCAGGATTTGTGGTTACCTGCCTGTGCATCCTCCTGGCGGCGGGGGGGCTGTCCTGTAATGTGTAGGAATGTAGGTCTAGAGCTTCAGGAACTCGGGAACGGAGACAGATAGCTCGTGGTGGTAATCGGAGTTCTAGGAGGAGAGGCGATGACCCCCACGGACAGAACCTCCACGGAGAAGGGAGAGTTCAGAAGTCTAAGGAAACACCAACAGTTAGCGAGAAGGGCGAAGAGGCTTGAGGGCTGGTCTCGGGGCCTGTGGGCCCAGCACTGCTGCCACGTATGCCTCAGCCTTGCCAGTCCTCAGGCTCTCCGATGCCACGCTCCCCTGGGAGGGAGTGGCCGCCGTGTCCCGGGGATGGAGAGGGTGTGAACAGCCATGGCATGCCTCTGAATCATCCCCTTCTCTCCTTTGGCTCCTGGCCAGTCTCCTCCCCGACCGGCATGATGTCAGCCCCGGGCTGACCTGAAGGTGTGAGGTGAGGACCCGAGGGGAGACGGCCTGGCCTGGCCTGGGTCCAGATGCTTGGGTCCCGCTCACAGAGGGTGAGTGGAGGCCGACTGGGCTTGGAGGGACTGACCTGGAAGGCAAGCTAATCCTCTGGCTGAGAGAGGAGCTACCAGTGTTCCACCCCCCCACCCCCACCCCACCCCAATATGTTGTTTTTCCTCTAGGGCTTGGAGAAGAGGGAGGGCAGAGGTGGCAGAGGGAGGGCTGGCTTGGAGGTGCGATTGGCATATATTCCCGAGAATACGGTAGATTGTTTTGGAAAAATCCTCTTGGCCGGAAATTACATGTCACGTCTGCTCCTGGGATTGGATTTGTCACTTCACTGATGCTGTTGGAGAGGCTGGAGGAGGGGGAGAGGAAGAGGGGGGGCAGCAGCAGATTCCTGGCTGCTCCCGGCTCCCTTTTAGAGATCTGGAGGCGAGTTACAGACCAGAGAGGTGTGCGAGTGGGCTGGATGCCCCAAATCCCAGAGGCAGGTTGGGGCCTGTGGATATCTTTTATAGCAAGACAGCAGGGGGCTTACAGGGGAGAAGGAAGGGAGGACAAAGCGGGAAGGAGAAATGGGTTTCGGGTCAGACCCTCCTTCACCTGGCCAGGAGGAGAAAGAAGGGGCCTGGCATTTTCAGCCCCTTTTCTCCACAGCCACCTGACTCTGGGTTCTTGCAGCGCTAGTTCCTGTCCTAGCTGCAGGAAGAGGCAGGGGAGCTTCTGCCTAGGATACACCCGCTGCCTGGCAGGGTCATGCTTAGGGTTGAGACCAAGCTTGTGAGGAGGGGGGGAGCCTTGGGGAAACCTCACCTGGTGCCCGCCTGGGCCCTCGCCTCACTCTGGAGGGTGAGTGTGTGTGTGTGTGTGTGTGTGGCCCGGTGGCTCAGCATCTCTCTCCTCCCCTGCCCCAGCCCTGGAAGGGGAGAAGCTCCTGAGCGCAGCCGCACATACCTGTTCCTGCGGAGTCAGTGGATGCTTCAGATGCCAGCCAAATGAGAGGGTGTGCGTCCGTCCGCCCGCCTGGGAGCCCTGGGGCTGGAGGGGGAGGAGGAGCCTTGGCGGCGGCGGCGGATCCTCTGCCAGCCGGGGCCTCACCTGCGTGCCGGGTGAGAGTTCGGGTGGGCAGGTGTGAGCGCCCTCCCCCAGCAGGCAGCGTGGGCACTCTGCACTCTCTGGGCCGGAGAGGGCAGCCCCAGCACCCGCCCTGCCGGCCCGCCCCGCCCGGGCTCTCCCCCGGGGAGGGGGCGAAGGGAAAGGTCAAGGCCGGGCTGGAGGAGGCGGAGGGGGTGGGGCTGGCGGCGGAGGAGGCGTGGCTCCCGCGCTGGGCCGGCAGGTTTGCGGTGGCGGCGAGGGTGGAGCGGAGAGAAGAGGAGCCGCGGGAGCCCGGCAGGTGGGCGCATGGTGGAGGGGAGGCTTCAGGCCGCCCCTTAGAGGGCGGGAGGGCGGGGCCTCGGGCTGGCTCAGGACCGGGTGCTTCTGTCCTGTATGCTTCTGGGAGGGACCCCACTCCCCCTAGCATGGACTCTGGGGAGCCCTGAATCCCCAGGACCAAGCTGGTGGCTGTGGAGCTCTGGGATTCAGGGGAGGGGAGCGGGCTCTGCGGATCGCGCTGTGGCCCTGCGGGGAGGCGGCGGCGGCTCCCGGGTGCGGACAGGGCAGGACTGGGGGCGGGGCTGCCGCGGTCGGAGCCGGAGGGACAGCATCCTCGGGGGCCCTGCCAGCGGGTGGGTGGTGGGCAGGAGGCTGTGGGGTGAGTGCGGGGTGGGGACCAGGACCAGAGCTCCCCCTGCTCATGAGCTCCAGCGGCCCTGCCCTTCTAGGCTCAGACCTGAGGATGCTCCAGGCCCAGCCCCGAGGCCCCGCAGCAGCACGCAGGGCGGTGACGCTGCCGCCGGAGGGCGGGGGCTGCGGGCGGCGCTGCTCCCCTCCGGGCCCGAGCGCTGCGTCTGGGTCCCATGGGGGAGAGGCCTGCATATCAGCGCCTGGCTGGGGGCGAAGGGGTCCTGCAGGTAACGGGGTTAATGGGATTAATGGGGGCGAGGAGGAACTGCAGGTAATGGGGGGGGGGAACCTGGGGGAGAGCCGAGGGCCCAGCCCTGCGCTCTGGTGCCGGGAGTGAGGGGTGTAAGCTTCTGGGCCAGGACAGACCCCGGGAGGCTGGGGAGAGACCTGGTGTTGCTGCGGGGGGTTGAGGGGGTGGGTGAATCGGGTGATGAATTACGGGTGCTGGCGTTTGCCTCCGTGTCCCTCTGGGTCCCTTGGGTCCCCAGGAAGCTGCCCTTTGGGCTTTCTTCAGCGCCTCGGGAGAGCTCTGGGCACAACAGGGTTTGGGGTTAATCTACCGGGCGCGCCTCCCCGTGCCTGGACATTCCCGTGGACATTGCGTCCAAACAGGCGTATCCAGCCCAAATGCCCCTGTTTGCTTTGAAAAAATAAGGTCACACCATCCATACGTAGGGGACCACGGCTCCTTCTCCTCGGAGACCAAGCACTCCCTCCGTTGGCCGGCAGAGGGCAGTCGCTGACAGGACAGAGATGGGCTGCAGTTGTCCAGGACTGGGAGAAAGGGACCCCAGGCCTGGCCGGAGCTCGGACCCCTGCCCAGGCTGTTCTTTCCTGGCAGCGCCTCACAGCTGGATTGCTGAGCAAGCTGCCGAGGCTTGTTCTTACCTTACGACCCAGGGAGAGTCAGGCCGGGGGCTCATCTGTCAGCGGGTGCCTAGGGTTTTTAATCTGGCCACGCCGGCCCAGCAGCCCCGTCTCGGGGTTGAGGGAGTAATCCTGCTTAGAGCAGGTCCCTGGGCCTCCTTCAGAGAGGTGCCTGGTGGGAGGCAGGCAGTAGTAGGCTTTTCTTTCTGAGCTGTGGACACTTCCTGCCGGGGTTTGGGGGAAAGTCCGCTCCAGGGTGACCTCTGCCTGGTCTTGTCCGTTAGCCGTGACCCCAGCCTCAGGCGGGGACTCGCTTGGACGGAGGGGAGGCTGCACCTGGCTGGCTCCACAGGCTTTGGGTAGCGGATGACGGGGGTGGGGGGAGAAGGCCTGATTGCTGGGGTTTGTTTTCCCCCCTTCCTCTCCTCCTCCGCCCCCCCCCCCCCCCCCCCCCGAAATCAGGGCTCAGACCAGGAAATGGCTGTCCCTTTGGGTAGCTCCTCTCCACACACTGAGAGAGACCTTGGAAAGAGAGCTCGGGATGCTGACTCCCCCAAATTCCCACCCCGGCTGCCTGCCCCACGAGCCAGCTGGGGCTGTCCGCGCTGGTGGCCAGCTGGATAGGAGACAAGAGAGCAGTGTGAGAGAAACAGGGGCTCCCTGGGCAGGGTCGGGGGGGTGGGGTGGGGTGGAGGAGCCGAGGGAGCCGCAGAGGACTTCCTGCAGCTGTCAGGTGTGTCTGGGGCTGCGGGGAGGGGAGGTGTGAGCAGCTGGCCCTCTTGAGGAGAGGCCGAGGGATCGTTTGCCGGCTCCGGGAACATGGGGGCCCCTGGGGGCTTGATGGCGCGCCTCTCGTTCCCGTTAGCTGGGGCTGCCGTCTGGGTGTATGGGTGCTATAGCATGAGACACCATACAGCCCCGAATCCTACAGCGTGGGGCGGGGGTGATCCCCGCTGGGTCTAGCAAGCTTGTTTGTTTGTTTTGAGGGGGCTTGGGGACGTGGCCGCCAGTCTGGGGAGGAGGTGCCCCGGGTGTTGTGGGGCAGCAGACAAGGCAACCCCAGGGGAGGAGGTGGAGATTCTTTACCCCCTCCACCCCCTCCCGGTCTTGGCTGGACTGCCCCGCGCTGGCAGGCTGCCGGCCTCCTATTTCCGTCGGGCACCAGGGTAACAGGGCCACATTAGGGCCTGAGCCAGAGGAGACACCCAGCCAAGGCCGGGGCTGGGAGATGGGGGAGGGTCTCCCCTGCAGGACCGAGACCGCCTCCGGGGTGCTGGCCCCCCAACTCAGGCTCTGCGCTGGCCCCCAAGCCCCAGAGAAGCCCATGCGGGAGCCTGCGACCATTCTTTGTGCATGGCTGCTGGGTTCACATGGCCCCCACCCTAAGATCCCAGGGGGTGTCTGCAACTATGGGGGCTGGGGTGGAAGCCAGAGACAGGGGACCTTGTGTGTGGGGAGGCAGGGGGGCCGGAGCGGGCGGCTGGAAGGAAGAGTCCCCCCATGGCCGGCCGCCTTCTTGGCAGCCATTCAGAAAGGTCCCTTTTCAGCCAGTGTCAGAGCTGCTCAGCTGGGGAGGGGGGAGGGGAGAAGGGAGGGAGGAGGGAGGGCCGTCAGGAGGGGGAGCCAGGGAGGAGGGCTGGAGCTGTGGCCACTGCGCTGGAGAGAAGACAGAGAAACGGGACAGAGAGGACTCAGGCTGCAGGCAGTCTTAGGGAAGAGCTGACCTGCCCCCTGGCAGGCCGGCCAGCTGTAGGAACAGCTGTGCAGCAGAGAGCGTTCTTCTGCCCCACGTCCCACCCCTGCTGTGGGGTTCTGGGGGCTCCGAGGGCAGACCTCTGGCCAGCTTCCCTTCTGGGCCAGACCTGAACCGTGGGAGCTGAGGTCCCTGCTCCCCCGCTTCTCAAGCCAACGTCCGAGGGACCCGCCGGGGGTCCAGCTCCGTGGAGATGCCCGCCGCCCGTCGGTTCCCCGGCCTGGAGCTCTCCTTCCCTCTCCTGGCCAGGCTGCGGCGAAGACTGTACACAGTGAGTGGGGGGCCGGGGCCGGTCAGCTCCTCAGGGCCAGCAGCACTTCGCCGAGGGGCAGGGAGCAGGACCGGGAGAGGCTGAGGGACCCCTTCAGTGAGGGCTTGCCCGGGGGTCCCCTCTGGTGCCGGAGGATGTGCCTGGGAAACGTGCATGCTCGGCGGAGAGCTACACGTGTGTCCGACACAGGAGCGCGGGCTCGGGGCTCCGCGGGGGCCCAGGCCCCCGGGGGGCAGCTGCAGTCGTGCTCTGTGCTTCACAAAGGAACTTGGGCCGGAGGGGCAGGTAGGGGCCAGGAGGGGACTGGTCCAGGGACAGGACCGGGACCCTGCCTGCTGGCTCCTCCCTGGGATCCCGGTGTCCTCGGCCTCCCCACACGGGGCCCCGTGCAGAGAGGCCCTGCTGCCTGGGGCTGCGGAGCCGGGAGGAGAGTGTCCAGCTGAGTCGGGAGATTTGTTAGCTGGCATTGCAGGGGACAGGAACAGGCTGGGCTGTGCTCTTCAGGGGAGGGACCTCTGGGTGTGAGCTGTCCTCGGGAGTGGCTGCCTCCTGCCCCAGAGGAGGGTGGGCATGGGGCCCCGGAGCCCTGGAATTTGGGCACGGGGGAAGAGGAGGCAGGACCTGCAGCCGGCTTGCCCTGGGCAGAGCCATGCCGGGTTTGGGCTGACCGTGAAGGAGCCGGCCCGGGCCGCGGAAACTTTCCGAGGGCAGTGATGTCACGGTGCACCTTTGGGGTTTTCTTCTGGACAGCAGTGGTGTCCCTCCCTCGTGAGCCCACACCCCCTTGTTTATAACAGATGGTTTTCTGAGGATGAGTTAATGCTGCTCAGTGCTTGGCTCTGTGCCCAGCACATAGTGATGTAGTTGAAGCGTTAGCTACTTTTATTGTTGTTCTTGAAACTAATAGAAATATAACATGCTTACCGTGCATGTTGCAGTCGGTCAGTCCACAAATGTAGTGCCACCTGTGCTGTAAGAGAGAAATAAAAGGGGGGTAATCACGCCACTTCACGTAGTCCACGTCGGTACACTCTGACACAGCGAAGCAGAACCACCACGAAGCACCTCTAGGAGTGCTGACCGAGAGGGCTGTTTAGGAAGAGTGAGGAGGGGCTGCCCTCAGTGACTTTTTTTTTTTTTTTTTTTTTTTTAAATTGGGAACCACTTTCGCTAAGCTCTGAACAAAGCAAAGGCCGGTTTTCCCTCAGTTTACACAGTACGCTAGTTCCATTCCAGAAAAAAGTTCAGTGTGTATCAAGACTGCAAAAATAGTTTGTTGGCCGAAACCGGTTTGGCTCAGTGTATAGGGCATCGGTCTGCGGACTGAAGAGTCCTTGGTTCGATTCCGGTCAAGGGCATGTGCCTTGGTTGCGGGCACATCCCCGGGGGGGTGGGGGGGGTATGCAGGAGGAAGCTGATCGATGTTTCTCTCTCATCGATGTTTCTAACTCTCTATCCCTCTTCCTTCCTCTCTGTAAAAAAAAAAATCAATAAAATATATTTTTAAAAAATACTTTTTTGCTCAAATGTAAAATGAAATTCAACTCTAGATTCAGATAATTACAAAATTAAAAAAAAATATGTTTATTGATTTCAGAGAGGAAGGGAGAAGGAGATCAAAACATCAATGATGAGAGGGAATCATTGATCGGCTGCCCCCTGCACGCCCCACACTGGGGATGTGCCCGCAACCTGGGCATATGCCCTTGACTGGAATCGAACCTGGGACCTCTCAGTCTGCAGGCTGATACTCTATCCACTGAGCCAAACCGGGTAGGACTACAAACAAATTTTTCACGTCCATGAATTACGTTGTATGGGACTTGGGACAGTGTGGGAAACTCCCCTGTGCATTACAGGATGACTCCCCTTCTTGTCTCCCCTAAAGACCCCCAGTGGCCCCCCAACGTTGTGACAACCAGAAACGCCCTCTAGGGGGCTGTAAGCCTTTGTGAGAACCTTCTGGGTAAAGGGTTACTTACGGCCTCAAGTTTGGAAACCCCCTGTGGCCCAGCCACCTTGGCAGGAGAGCCAGCCAGGGTTTGAACTGAGGTCCTCTGGCTCCCGTTTGTCACTCTCTGAGCCGCCCCGAGCTGCCTGGGGGAGCCTGGGCCGCTGGCTTTGGGTTGGCAGCGTCTCCGGGAACTGTGGAGCCGGAGGCTGGTGCTGGGCCCAGGCTGTGAGCGGCTCTGAGAGCCAGCCTTTCTGTGCGACCCGTGATGAGAGCTGGGGGACAAGGCAGCCGCTGAGTTGGGGAGGATGGGGTCTCGGGCAGCTGACCTTTCGCCTCCTGCCTGTTCCTCCCTGTTAAGTAGCTCTGGGATTGAACGTGGGCCAGGGGCTGGCCTGGCCAAGCTCTCAGCTCTGAGGTGTCTTCCTTGGACAGGGATGGGCTTGGTGTCTGGTGGGTCAGGTTGCTTAGTTTTGAGGGTGCCCCTGGCCTTTCTCTGGGCCCCAGAAAGTGTAGGTCAGGGGTCACTCACTGGTGGGGCTTTGGCTGATTGTGGCCTGCAAACACGTGTTGTTTGGCCAACATAAAGTATGTTGTGTGTGTGTGTATGTGTGTGAAGTGTATGTTTCAATTAGTTGACATAGTTAAAAAGTCAGGAGATACCTGGCCAGTTTGGTTCTGTGGATAGAGCGTCATCTGTGGACTGCAAGGTCCTGGGTTCGATTCCAGTCCAGGGCACATACCTTGCCTCCCTGGCCCTGGTCTGGGTGCAGGCGGGAGGCAACCAATTGATGTGTCTTTCTCACGTCGATGTTTCTCTTTCTCTGTCTCTCCTCCTTCCTTCCACTCTCTAAAAATCAATGGAAAATATCCTCAGGTGAGGTTTAACAACAAAAAAGTCTGGAGAAAGATGTTAAGTGAAAAGGAACAGAATGAAGTGGGAGCAGTATTTGTGTGTGTGGGGGGGGGGGGGCGGGGGGGGGTGAGTGGAGAGACAGTCTGGGAGCCCTGGCTGGTTTGGCTCTGTGGTTAGAGTGTAGGCCCTCGGACCGAAGGGTCGCAGATTCAATTCCCGTCCAAGGCCACCGACCTGGGATGCAGGTTTGAACGCTGGCCCTGGTCGGGGTGGGTTGGGGCGTGGATGGGAGGCAACCAATGGATGTTCTTCTTTCTCTCTCCCACTTCACTTCCTTCCACTCTCTAAAAAAATAAATGGGAAAAATACCCTTTGGTGAGGATTTAAAAAAAAAAAATTAAAAGCTTTAGAAGAAAGCTCCTCTTTAAAAAAACAAAACAAGCCCTGGCCGATTTGGCTCGGTGGATGGAGTGTCAGCCTGCGGACTCACAGGTCCCAGGTTTGAGTCCAGTCAGGGGTGTGCAGGAAGCAGCTGATTGATGTTTCTCTCTCATCAATGTTTCTAGCTCTCTCCCTCTCCCTTCCTCTCTGTAGAAACATCAATAAAATATATTATTTAAAAGTCTGGAAAGATCTGCAAAGTAATTGATGGCATCTGGCTTTGGGGAGGGAAGTAGGTATCTGTGCAATAGAGGAGGGAATGAGACTCTATGGCTCCTGTGTGCCTTTTGAATATTTTACCATGTGATTATATTACCTTTTAAAAAAATTTATGGCAAGACTAGAGGCCCGATGCATGAAATTCGTGCAAGAGTAGGCTTCCTCCCCACAGCGGCCGGCACCGGCTTCCCTCTGGCACCCAGGACCCGGGCTTCCCTCGCAGCCCGGCTTCGTCTGGAAGGACGCCCGGTCTAATTAGCATATTGTGCTTTTATTATTATAGGTTTCACATATAGATTTAGGCAGCTAGTACTTCTTGAAAACATTGGTAAATTTTGGCAACACTGGGCCACAGTCTGTTGTGAGAGCCATTCCCAGGAGCTGGATCAGAAAGCCCCGCCCCCCCCCCCCCCCCCCCGCCCTTGCCTGTCCCTCTGTCCCCCACTCGTCGCGGTCCTGAGGCACTTGTGGGGAGGGCTTTGGGTTGGGGGGAGAGGCTCTGCTGTATCAAGCATTGGGAGGACTCCCCTCGTCCTGAGTCCTTTCTGTGGGTCCATCAGGTCTGAAAACCAACCCATGATGTGTCTCAAGGGACCCTGTCACCTCCACATTTTTTTTTTTTTAGTGAAACTTTGCGATTAAGAATGTGTTATTTCCCCCTGGAGACACAAATCATTTTCATCAAGTTCTCAAAGGGTGTGTGGCCCCAGGAGAGCTTGAGCCGACAGGGAACCTGAGAACACAGAGGTTGATCTCAGGTCACCAAGCCACAGATTTTGTAAGACCCTGACTCCAGCGCCTGGGCTGTATCCCAACTGTCCTAATTCTACCCTTGTTGCTGGCAAGAAAGGAGCAAGGGGGGTGTCTGCTATTCTGTACAGCTGTTTTGAGGAGCAGGAAGGTGATTTTAATCTCTCCTGGAAGTAGCGTAGTAGGATGTGGGTGAGCCCAGGGCACTCGGGCGGGGTCCCCTTTTGCCTCCCTGTACCCCTAGTTCCTGAATTCATTCTTAGAATAATTAATAATAAAATAATAATAATATTTTAAAAAATTACTTATTAATTTTAATATATTTCTCTTTTTATGGCTGTCTTTTAAAGATATTCTATATTGATTTAGGAAGGGAGAGGAGAGAGAGAGAGAGAGAGAGAGAGAGAGACACATCCACGATGAGAATCATTGATTGGCTGCCTCCTGCACACCCCATACTGAGGATCTGAGCCTGCACTCCAGGCATGTGCCCTGGCTGGGAATGGGACCACGGCCTCCTGGTTCATAGGTCGATGCTCACCCACAGGGCCACGTCGGCCGGGCCCTGATCACCCTTTCCTCCCCGCAGCGGCTGGGGAGCAGCAGCATGCAGCCCGAGGAGGGCACGGGCTGGCTGCTGGAGCTGCTGTCCGAGGTGCAGCTGCAGCAGTACTTCCTGCGGCTGCGCGACGACCTCAACGTGACCCGCCTGTCCCACTTCGAGTACGTCAAGAATGAGGACCTGGAGAAGATCGGCATGGGCCGGCCCGGTAGGTGGGCCCGGCCGCGCTCGCCGCCTCCCCCGACCCTTCGCCTCTGACCCCGGTTCACACGCTCCGGGAAGGTCCTCCCCGCTTCGCTGCACGGGGTGGCCTCGCTGAGGACCCTCCTGCCCGCCCAGGAGCCCCGGGTGGGCGGAGGGGCCGCACACAGTCCGTGCAGGAGAACAGTCTGCACTTGTCAAGGTGAAGGGGACTGGGAGGAGTCCTCCTCACAGCTCTGGCTGCTCCGCACTCCCTCCCGCCCCTGTGGTTTGTTCAGTCGTAGGATGTAGTTCTCCCAGCATCTCCTCCTCCTTGGTACCTGTAGAATTGAGTCTGTTCTCTTCACCGCTTTGAACACCAGGGTTCAGTACCCAGGGATTTGTATGAAGAAGAGAAGATTAAAAACCCTCCGATGGTTTGCTGATTTTTCTCTAGCTTTGTCTTGCTCTCTCTGTCTCTCTCTCACCAAGATCTGCTCCATCTGGACGTGTTGATCCTAAAAGTAGAGGTTGCAGCACATAGGACGCATGGTGCTCCTTACAGAACGTAGACACTTATGTGTGCATTCAACTTAAAGTAGCTACCCATGTTTCCCCGAAAATAAGACATCCTCCGAAAATAAGACCTACTTACAGGTTCCCTTCTGAGTGAAATATAAGGCATCCCCCTGAAAATAAAGGCCCCCCTAGGCTAAACATGAGAGATTTGGTCTACTGATTCTGAAAGAAATGGAGTCACAAGAAATTCACTAGGAAATTCAGGAATTGGATTGTTATGATGATGTTCCAGAAGATGATGACGTGATTGTCATTGAATAAATGAGTAAATTCTTGATACTGTAGATTCACAGTTTGTCTGGTTTGTGATGACAGGTAATAAATTTCCTTTATTTTCATTTAACAATAAATGTGTACCGTATTCTTCTTCATGGAAAAATAAGACATCCCCTGAAAATAAGACCTAGCGCCTCTTTGGGAGCAAAAATTAATATAAGACACTGTCTTATTTTCGGGGAAACAGAATAAATAGGTAATAGTGTGCTGAATTAGACATCGACTCCTGCCACTTTTGGCCTGGGTAGTTGGTGTCTGATGCCAGTCACATAATAACATTTTATGGGAGAAAAAACTCAAAATTGGGGAAAATTCTATTACCTTGATTTCCTTTGCTCTCGAAAATTGGAACAGAGAACTACTGCTCAGTGTTGGTGGTTCAGTACCTCCATCCGATTCAAAAGCCACTGCCTAGAAACGGAATGCAGGGCATCTGACCACTGTAGCCCCTGGCTGGCTGGGATGGTTTGCTTCCTTGGTTTCACTGTGCTGGGCAGTATCACCACGGGAGACAGAGGGGGCCTGCAGAGGGCAGCGGCCATGGGGAGGGAGGGGGGCCTGAGCCTTACTCACACGGGGTCCCCTGTCCCCCCTGCAGGCCAGCGGCGGCTGTGGGAGGCTGTGAAGAGGAGGAAGGCCATGTGCAAGCGCAAGTCCTGGATGAGCAAGGTGGGTGGCGAGGCGTGAGCCGGGCCGGGGCAGCCTCCCGGGGCCCCGCTCTGAGGTCCGTCCCGGGAACCGTCCCCCACTCCTGGCAGGACAGCCTCACACTTGGAACAGACGGCCGGCCTCCGGGATCTTATCGGGCAGGCACTTGTGGAGCTGCCTGGCCGAGTGTCTGTCTCCGCTAGCGACGGCACGTGAGCGGCCGTGTGCGGCTGTGGCTCCACATCCGCCCCCGCTCTGCGGCGTGCCCCACCCGCTGACAAGCACGCCGGGACCCGCGCCCTTGTTCTGCCTGAGCCTCGGGGCTGGTGTCAGGCCTGGGGTCGTGCGGATTGACGTCTGAACCCGGGCATCTTCGCTGTCCTCTTCCCCACTCTCCTTCGCCGGTGGAGGGTTCCTCTGGCCATTTGGCCTTGCTGGCCGCTTCTCTCCCCGCAGGCTCCCCTCCTCCCCCCCTCCCTGTCCTCATTTGGGTCTGTGGAGTGGTGGTGAGTCCCCGGTCTGACTCAGTGGAACGCTGACCCATTGTCTGGAAGACAATGAAGGAGGAAGTGAACCAGCCAGGGCCTTCCCTCCCCATTGCTGGCCTCGGGCTGGGGCTGGGGCTGGGGTGGGGGGCCGGCGGGGCAGCGCGGTTGGGCCGGATTGGACAGCAGAGGTTTCCTGGCTGTGACCTGGCCAAGGGGCCGTCTCTTGGGATCCTGTGACCTTTTCTGGGGACACTGTCCTGGTTCCTTGCCCAGGTTTTAGGGAAGAAGGAGCATGTTGGGCGGGTGAAGGCAGGGGGGAAAAGCCGTGCTGTGTGCCAGGTTTCCGGGGTCTTGGATCTGCCGTGGGCTCGCAGGAGGCTCCGGGCTGGTCATTGGACCTCTCCGGACCCCAGGCGGGAGGCATGTCTTCGGGGAGACGGTGCTGCCTGCTGCCCTTGGCCAGCTCCCCTCACCTCCCCGGCTGTGTGCACAGTCCTGTCAGCTGGACGTGGTCTGCAAGCGTCAGGGCTTCCAGTTACTGGGAGGAGGACAGAGCAGCAGCCAGAAGAGGCTCTCGGGCTGGAGCCTGTCCATACAGATAAGACTCTTCCAGGTTTGGGGGCAGGGGCCCAGCTGGGCAGACTCTGCCGCCTGAAGCCAAGGCTTTGTAGGGGTGGCCAGACCCATCGACAGGCCAGCCCGACACTCAGGGCCTCCTTCCTCCTGTCCCCTGACCTTTGTCCAGCCCGGGCTGCAGAGTTCTTTCCCGTCTTCCCTCTCTCTCAGCCCTCGGCTCCAGGCGCCCCTCCAGAAGCCCAGCTGTCTTCCCAGGCCCTTCCCCGGCAAGGCCTTGCTCCATCTGCACCCCACACACACTCACAGTCTAACCTCAGGCTCAAATTATCCTCCGCGCTGGCAGGAAGAAGGGCAGCCGGCTCCCCGGGGAGGGTGGAGACAGACAGCACCAAATGGGCAGCCCGGAGAAGGGGCCAAGGCTAAAAATGGACAGAGAGGTGTTTGTGGCAGGCCCCTGAGGTTCCTGCCCATCTGCTCTGGTTCGGGCCGGGAGTCTCTTCTGGGCAGGAGGAGGTGCAGACAGGGACGGATGGGGTAGAAGGTGGTGCCTAGAGGAGCTTTGGGCTGCCCCAGGTCCCCCAGCTGGGTGTGGGGCCACCGTCGCCACAAGCTACATGCCCGCCTGTCCATTTCTGCCACACACACATCCTGAGGCCACTCTGGGGTCCTATCTTGGGGGTGTGGCCAGAGGGTGCTTGGACCTCTAAGCCAGGCTGCCCCGGCCGTTTGGCAAAGCCAGGACCCATCTGGAGGCTGGGTGAGGGCCGGCTGGGACGGGACGGTGGCCTCAGGGTTCCCTTGGCCTCTGGCTGCCCTCACACAGGTGTTCAGCGGGAAGCGGCTGGAGGCCGAGTTCCCCCCTCACCACTCGCAGAGCGCCTTCCCAAAGGCCTCGCCCACCCCCGGGGGCCCGGCGGGGGAGGGGCCCCTGCAGAGCCTCACCTGCCTCATCGGGGAGAAGGACCTGCGCCTCTTCGAGAAGCTCGGGGACGGCTCCTTCGGCGTGGTGCGCAGGGGCGAGTGGGACGCCCCCTCGGGGAAGACGGTGAGCGGTCGCCCCCTCGGGGAAGACGGTGAGCGGTCGGGGTCCTGGGGGGTGCGGCAAGGAGACAGGCCCCTGGGGAACCGGCAGAGACCCCACCCTGCCCTCCAAGGGGCTCTGTCCCCTCGGCCAGGATGCGAAGGGGGTGGGGACGGGTCGCAGAAGTTCTTGCCCTGGGTTCTACTACACTCAGGTTCACCCAGACACAGGCAGCTGCTTCTTTTGAAAACTACACCGATAACTTACTTACCATAAAAGTTTGGAAACGGTTTTAAAAACAAGGGGTAAATTGTTGTACTTTCACCAGTCAGGAAGCAGTTAGCATTTCTGCCTCTCTCCCCTTCTCCCCCTCAGGTATTTTGTTGAATTTAGTTAAGATGCGAATTTTAAATACAACTTCTGAAATCGTGCCCTTTCTCTTGGTATTTTATTTAAAGTTCCCCCCCAGAGGGATCAATAGCATGTACATAATAAAATGTGCAGCTCCTGATGCCCAGCTCAGTACACACACACACACACACACACAAACACACACACACACGCAGGGAACCACGCCCGGGTCCCGGTATCGGGCACTTCCCGCTGCCAGGGCCTCCCTCCTGCCTCTGTGCTGAGTGTCTCCTTCCTCCAGGGAGGGCTAGTGTTCTGACTTCTGACACCATACATTAGTGGTTTGGTATTATTACATTTAAAGCATTTTTCTCCTACACCAAAACCACTTTTCATGTTTGTTTTTAAAAATATATATTTTATTGATTTTTTTTTTTACAGAGAGGAAGGGAGAGAGATAGATAGAAACATCGATGAGAGAGAATCATCCATCAGCTGCCTCTTGCACACCCCCTACTGGAGATGTGCCCACAACCAAGGTACATGCCTTTGACCAGAATCGAACCCAGGACCTTCCAGTCCGCAGGCCGACACTCTATCCACTGAGCCAAACCGGTTTCGGCAACTTTTCCTGTTTTATAACATTTTAATGTCCTATCGTCCCCCTGGTCATCTTTACCAAACGGTTGCTGTGTAATCTGGGCATTTCCTCAGGACAGGGAGGCCCGGAGAACGGCCCGGGGGGTCAGCCAGCGGCCCTTCCCCGGCCAGGCCAGGGCACCTGTGACACACGCGCACCCACCCAGAGGAGCAGATCTGAAGCCAGGATGTTAGTTGGAGGGAGGAGCAGGCTGGCTCGGCATGCTGGGGCCTGGGACCTGTCCTGACTCCGTGCCCTCTCCACGCTGGGCAGGTGAGCGTGGCCGTGAAGTGCCTGAAGCCCGACGTGCTGAGCCAGCCCGAGGCCATGGACGACTTCATCCGGGAAGTCAACGCCATGCACTCGCTCGACCACCGAAACCTCATTCGCCTCTATGGGGTGGTGCTCACGCCACCCATGAAGATGGTGAGTTGGCTGTGGTCTCCGGGCCCCGGGTCCGCCCTGTCTCCTGCCTGTGCTGTGGTTACTCCCATCCTGACAAAGGCCAGAGATCCCCCAAGATCCTGATGCGGTCCCCCCAGATCCTGCTGTGGCGGAGGGGCTCACAGGGGCCTAGCCCGGGACTGACCGTGTCCTCCGGCGCCCACGTCCACCTCTGCATGTTGCTTGCGTTCACTGGCAGAGTCACACCCATGGGAGGAGCGGGTCCGGAGTGCAATCTTGGGGGTTTCTAACATGAGCCTGTTCGGGTTGCCCCTCTGGGCCTCCGTCTCCCACGCTGCCTGGAGAGAGAGGCGGGGAGCTGTAGGCCTAGAGGTCCGCTGAGGCCAGGCGGGAAGGAGCGCTGAGCGCGGCTCTGGGGGGACGCTGAGGGCGGGCGGGCTCAGCCACGCGTACTCCTCCCGCCTTCTCCGTGGCCTCAGGTGACCGAGCTGGCGCCTCTGGGATCGCTGTTGGACCGGCTTCGCAAGCACCAGGGCCACTTCCTCCTGGGGACCCTGAGCCGCTACGCCGTGCAGGTGGCCGAGGGCATGGGCTACCTGGAATCCAAGCGCTTCATCCACCGCGACCTGGCCGCCCGCAACCTGCTGCTGGCCACCCGCGACCTGGTCAAGATCGGGGACTTCGGGCTGATGCGGGCGCTGCCCCAGAACGACGACCACTACGTCATGCAGGAGCACCGCAAGGTGCCCTTTGCCTGGTGAGGGGCAGGCGCTGCCGGCTCTCGGAGCCCGGGCCCGCCGTCCCACCCCGGTGCCCGCACACCGAGGCTCAGAGCATCTGGGTCCCACAACAGCCCGGCTCTCTTCTGGGCCTGGGCTGTCCTTGTGTGCATTTCAGTCATTCACTCATTCATTCAGGAGTTTTCATGTGCCAGGCGCTGAGACACAGGGATAAGACTCTGGAGAACTCGGAATGAAGCTCCTAAAATATCAGAAGTTAGCCAGACAAAGATGGGTTGCTAAGCCTGTTTTAGGCAGAGCTAGTGGAAGGCAGGGCCAGACCAGCCTAGACTTTGTCTTCCATGAGCAGCGATGTTCACCGTGCCCCCTCCTCCCCCCCGGCCCCTGTGTGAGCCAGGCCCGTGCTGAGAACAGTGGGGTCCTCTGGGGTCGCCGGCACCCCAGGGAGCTCAGTCTCCCTGCTTGGAGGTGGACGGCGTCGCTCTAGTTCCGCTGGCCGGAAACCCTCCGCATCCAGGACGTATAATACAGTCACTCTGCTTAGTAATGGACTTCATACCTAGAGGATCATGCATCCCAGGCTGGGCCTGTTGTCCTGGAGTAATGGATAGCACCCCCTTTCGTACCCAAGCATCCTGGTTTGGGTGGTAATTATAAGGTCACCTATTTTTTAAAAAAATAAATATTTTATTGATTTTTTTACAGAGAGGAAGGGAGAGGAAGAGAGGCTTGGAAACATCGATGAGAGAGAATCATCCATCAGCTGCCTCCTGCACACCCCCTACTAGGGATGTGCCTGCAACCAAGGTACATGCCCTTGACCGGAATCGAACCTGGGACCCTTCAGTCCGCAGGCCGACGCTCTATCCACTGAGCCAGACCGGTCAGGGCGAGGTCACCTGTCGTTATGCAGCCCCCTTAGAACAGCTCTGTGAAGTGAGCAGGTGATGATGATTGCTCCCATTTCACAGATGAGGACTAGGCGGCTTGGAGTGACCTTCTCTGGCTCCACCCCCTTTGGGTGGCAGGGCCAGCTCTCCAGTCCCGTGAGCCATCCTTGGATTCTTCATCCAGAGCGGCTTCCCCCTCGCTCGGCGCCTCGGCGCTGCTGGGAGCAGCGGTGTTTGTCCTCCTCGGCCAGAGGGCATCCCAGAGAGCGCGCGGGGCGTTTGTGTGGAGCTGGGGTGACTGTTTTCACCCATCTGTGCTCTTCCCCGGCCCTGGCCAGATTTCCCGCCCACACCTTCCTGCTGAAATGACCCAAAGGCTAGGATCCTGCCCCAGATCTGGAAACTGTCATCCTCCCACCACAATTACAAAACAGCCCGAGCTGCACCTCCTCCCTCTGCTCCTCCTGGAGCCTCTGGCTGTCTTCCTGTCCCTGCTTTCCTGCCCTGGCGGCCTCACCCTCGTCCCGCTGTGGGCCGCCTGTGGGTACCACACCTGAGCATTCCTTATTTTCTGTAAGTCTGTGTGTCCCACAGTCAGGACGCCCTGCCCTGCCTCCTCGTGCCACGTCCCCGGGACCTGCCGGGGAGCCTGGCACCTGGGGCCGCACCGTTGGTTGAGGGAGCCTTTTGTATCCGCTGGGGCTGATGAGGGCGGGGGTGCTCGCAGAGGCCTCTGTCTGACCCCCTGCATTTGCCAGGTGTGCCCCCGAGAGCCTGAAGACCCGCACCTTCTCCCACGCCAGCGACACCTGGATGTTCGGGGTGACCCTGTGGGAGATGTTCACCTACGGCCAGGAGCCCTGGATTGGCCTCAATGGCAGTCAGGTGAGGGAGGCGCTCGGGATGTGCCCCCTGTAGGGTGGGGAGGGGGTTGGTGTGATTCCTGGCTCCCCACCTGGCCCTGTGAGAACTGGGCCGTACCCGCTGGAGTCCTGGCCCCCGGGCTCCGTGTCTGTGTGACCTCTCGGAACGCTGAGCCAAGAGAAGGGCCCCCGGAGATCCGGAGAGGGACAGGTGGGGCTGGCTTGCCTCCATTCTTAGTCCTTGCCACAGCCACCTGTTCAGCCCCACCTGGAGCCAAAACCGGTTTGGCTCAGCGGTAGAGCGCCGGTCTGCGGACTGAAAGGTCCCAGGTTCGATTCCGGTCAGGGGCATGTACGTTGGTTGCGGGCACATCCCTGGTAGGGGGTGTGCAAGAGGCAGCTGGTCGATGTTTCTCTCTCATCGATGTTTCTGGCTCTCTAGCTCTCTCCCTTCCTCTCTGTAAAATATCAATAAAAATATATATTTAAAAAAAAAAAAAAAAGAAGAAGTGAGGCCTGGGGATAGACTCTGCCCCCACAAGACCTGTTCTGGGGGGGGCGGGGCACAGCAGCCCAAAGCTCCCGTGGTTCCGGGGCCCCGGGGAGGGTGGGCGCACTCAGCCGGCACCCCCTCCAGATCCTGCACAAGATCGACAAGGAGGGGGAGCGCCTTCCCCGGCCCGAGGACTGCCCCCAGGACATCTACAACGTCATGGCGCAGTGCTGGGCCCACAAGCCCGAGGACCGGCCCTCCTTCGTGGCCCTGCGGGACTTCCTGCTGGAGGTGAGGGCGGCTGCCCGCGGGCCGGGGTGCCGGAGCAGGCGAGCGTGGGGAGTGACCGGTCTCTGCCCTCAGGCCCAGCCCACCGACATGCGGGCCCTGCAGGACTTCGAGGAGCCTGACAAGCTGCACATCCAGATGAACGACGTCATCACCGTCATCGAGGGGAGGTAGGAGCCTGAGCCACACCCGCACCCGCACCTGCTCCGTCGTGAAGCGTGCGGGGCGGAGGTCCTCCTTGGCCATGCGCAGGCCGTGGGAGGCTGGAGCGGTGCAGCGGCTGGAGGCAGGGCTGGGGCTGCCTCTGAGAGCTGGGGGCGGGGGCTGCAGGTGCACCGCTCAGGGGTTTCCGCTGCGAAGCCTGCCTCCGGCTCCCTCTTCCCACTCGCTCCGGCCTTGGCCGTGTGGGTCAGGGCCACGCCGGGAGGCTCTGGAACTCCTTAACGTTCCTCCTCTAATCCTCCCTTCCCTACCCACCTCCTCCCAGGGGAAGGACTCTTTCGTGTTTTTTTAAAATTTTATTTTATTTTAAGTATATTTTATTGATTTTTTTTTTTTTTTTTTTTTTTTTTACAGAGAGGAAGGGAGAGGGATAGAGAGTTAGAAACATCAATGAGAGAGAAACATCAATCAGCTGCCTCTTGCACACCCCCCACTGGGGATGTGCCCGCAACCAAGGTACATGCCCTTGACCGGAATCAAACCTGGGACCTTTCAGTCCGCAGGCCGATGCTGTATCCACTGAGTCATATCGGTTTCAGCTCTTTTTTTTGTTTGTTTTTGTTTTTTTAAATTCTCACCCAAGGAATATGTTCATTGATTTTGGAGAGAGAGGAATATATATATATACACACACACACATATATATATATATATATATATATATATATATAGAGAGAGAGAGAGAGAGAGAGAGAGGGAGGAACATCAATGTGAGAGGAAAGAGAGAGAGAGAGAGAGAGAGAGAGAGAGAGGGAGGGAGGAACATCAATGTGAGAGGAAAACATCGAATCGTTGCCTTCCATACCTGCCCCGATGGGGGATCAAACCTACAATGTATGTATGTGCCACGGCCAAAATCAAACCTCCTTGGGGTATGGGATGATGCTCCAACCAACTGGGCCACCCAGGTGGGGCACGACAAGGACTCCTAACTACACAACGGGGTGCCCCACGCCATCCTAACAGCCTCCCCCCCTCACTGAGCCCCGCTGCTGCCCCAGGGCTCCCCTCCGTCCTCTGCTGGGCCCTCACCCTGGCCTTGTGCCCAGGCTCCCCACTCAGGGCCTCTGCTCCTGAGCCTCCGGCCCGTCCCTCCGGGCAGCGAGCCTCTCTGCCTGTGAGCAGGCAGCATCTTCTGAGTCACACCCCGACCAGCAGCCCCGCAGGCGCCTGCCTCGGAGCCCCACCCACCGCTCACCCCATCCTCTGTTATCTGAGCCTCGGGGCGTCTGAGGGACAGGCTGGGGCAGGGCAGGCGTGGAGGTACCTTTGGAGGAGGTGGTGGGCATGGAGGGCCGGGAGGGAGGGAGGAAGAGGGGATGCCCTGTGGTCCCAGCTCCCCTGATTCAGGCAGGCAGGGCCGGGGGCAGAGCTGTTCGCCCTCAGAGCCCTTCCCACTGAACCTCGGGCGTAGGGCGCCGGGGCCTGTGGCTGAGCCTTGTGCCACGTGGGGGTTGGTGGCCGGGCAGGGCCTCTGGGCTGCGTCGGTGATGAGCTGGCGCTGGGACCCAGGCTGGTTGTGGGGGCGGGGCCTGCACCTGCCGAGGCCCCAGCACCTCATCTGTGGCCCGTTGCCTTGGGCACAGCGTCTGGGAACAAGTATTATTATTTTTTATTAAATATATTTTATTGATTTTTTTACAGAGAGAAAGAGAGAGGGATAGAGAGTTAGAAACATCGATAAGGGAGAATCATCCATCAGCTGCCTCTTGCACACCCCCTACTGGGGATGTGCCCGCAACCAAGGAATCGAACCCGGGACCCTTCAGTCCGCAGGCCGACGCTCTATCCACTGAGCCAAACCGGTTTCAGCTGGGAACAAGTATTAACACCACTTGCCGGTGGCCGTGGAGGGAAGCAGAGAGCTTCTAGGATGGAGGCCTGAGGGACAGGAAGGAGCCCAGTCTGTGGTGTGGAGCGGAGGGGCCAGGAGAGGGACCGCAGGCCTGGCCTTTCGGGGAACATTCTGGAAGTAGGAAGATGGGGGTGAGGGCCCCTCCGGAGGTCCATGGCAGCTCGCAAAGCCAGAAGTCTGGGCCTCCCGCCATTCCCACCCCCGGGAACCCAGGACCCTGCCCCTCTGTGCCCTGCAGTCCCCAGGTCCTCGCTTGTCCCGTCCCTGCCCTCCGTGGCGGTTCTGTGTGCCAGGCCCAGTGTTCCTCGGGTGACTCAGAAGCTCCTTGTGTTTCTAAGGCGTGTGTCTCTTTGGCTGGCACCCGGCTCACCTCTGGAGCAAGGGAGGGGAGGGGAGGGCAAGGAAGGAGGGGACCGCCCCTGCCAGGAGGCAGCCGCTGTGGGCATGCCCTGCCCTGCCTTCCGTCACAGACTCCCCGCTGCCTGCCAGTGTGGCTCCTGGGCGCTCCCTCCAGGGCCCGCGATGTGGACCCCAGTGCCCGCCCTGGGTCCCTGGAGCTTCTCGGAGGTGGGAGGTGAGGGGCGGGAGGCCGGGACAGCGGTGGGGCTGTGGGGTGGGCCTGTGTGTCAGCGGTACCAGAGCCTCCGCTCTACCCCTCGTTTTCTCAGTGCCCGGGTCTCCGTTGGGCTGGCTCTGTCTCCGTGGATCCGGGTGGATGGAGCTCTCTGCTCTGTTTGTACATGCGGGTCGCTGGCTGTTTCTCTGCCTCCCCTGAGCCCGGCTCTCGGCTCTCTCCCTATCGGGCCTCTTCTGTCGGGGTTGAAGGAGTCTGCCAGACGCCATCTCCAGGCTTTGTTTCCTCGTCCCGAGCCTGGGGACCCCGTTGTCCTGGGCTCTGATTCTGTATGTGGGTTCAGTGCTTCTCGGGGTCCCGGGCAGCAGGCAGAGGGACACCTCGATGCTGTGTGAGCCACGCTTGTGGGGCTCGGTCTAGATTGGGCAGACGGTGCTGTTCTTTCTCGGGGGTTCTCGTTTGGAGGCTGGGATGGCTGGCGGCACTTTTCTGTGTTTACAGAACTGGGAAACGGGGCGAGGCTTTGAGGTCCTGCAGGTTCCTGGCCTGGCCTCGTCCCCGGAGCCTCTGATTCCTTTAGTGTGTGGGGCAGGGAGAGGCAAGGTCAGTGCTGTTCCTCGGGGCCAAGGGCTCCTGGGACACCAGAGAGAAGTGGGTTGGTGGGTTTGAATGTTTAAACGACATTTGTCAGCCATTTCTGGATTACCCGAGGCCAGGACTGGGACCGGCTGGGATTTCAGAGGCTGGTTCGCCATGGGGCTGGGCCACTGGAGCCAGACCCGGGTTTGCTAGGTGCTGCTGCATATGTTGCTTGTCCCAGGACACTGACAGGAAGCAGGAAGGAGGAAGTTCTTGCTGGAGGTACCGGGCCCTTTTCTCCCCCCCCAGGGACTCCCCCTCGGTGTCTGTCTTTGCAGCAGTGACTGATGGCGTGGTGGGGCCGGTCCTCTTGTTGCCATGGAGACTCGGGCCTGTTGGTGGAAGGAGAAGGGAGGGTGTGGCCAGAGCAGGCTGGAGGGGAGCACTGGGCTTGGTCCTCTCTGGGCTGCTGGCACCTCAGCCCCCCTGAGCCTCAGGGGAGACGTGGACCGTGTGACACAGCCTGGGCCACTCATGGCTCTCTCAGGAGGCTCATTAGAGTCTCGTTGGGCTGATGTGCTTGGGGTGCAATTTCCAAGGGGCCTCTTTCACACACACACACACACACACACACACACACACACATATACACACACACTCTCTCATACACACATACACACTCTCACACACAGTCACACATACACTCACACACGCACACACTCACACACGCACACACACACTCATACACACACACACAGTCATACTCACACTCACACTCAGACACACGCACTCTTTCATACTCACACACATACACACATACACACACACACACAGACACACACTCACTCTCACATACACTCACACACACACACACATATACACACACACTCTCTCATACACACATATACACTCTCACACACAGTCACACATACACTCACACACGCACACACGCACACACTCACACACGCACACACACACTCATACACACACACACAGTCACACTCACACTCAGACACACGCACTCTTTCATACTCACACACATACACACATACACACACACACACAGACACACACTCACTCTCACATACACTCACACACACACACTCACACTCAGACACACACTCACACACTCACAGACACACACACTCTTTCATACTCACACACATACACACTCACATACACACAATCACACATACACACACACACTCACACACTCACTCTCACATACACTCACACACTCACACTCACGGACACACACACTCACACTCACACACACTCACACTCACACTCACACACTCTGCACTCTGACTTCCCCTCAGGAACGAGCTGTTTGGGAGGGTGTCAGGACGCCCAGCAGGCGTGGGGGCGCTCACCTCGCCTCCCTGTGATGAAGGGGGTGGGCTTGGCGAAGCGAGTCCAGATGAGGCTCCTGTGGAAGGAGCTTGTCTTGTTGGCAAAGGAAAGACGGGCGAGGGCCTCCTGCCAGCGTGGCCGCGCAGCCCACCGGGGGCTCTGAGCTCGGCGCCTCCGCCTCCCGTGCTGCTCACCCCGAGGGCGAGCGAGCGAGGGCCCTGACAGGCGTGAGGAGCGGAGTCAGCGCCCGCCCTGGGCTGGGTCTGAGAGGCTCTTGGGCCCACAGAGCCGGGGAGCCAGCCCTGTTGGGGGAGCGGCAGGGCCGGTGCCAGGCATGCTCCCACCCTCTCCCAGGCGCCCGCCCCGTCGGCCGGTGGGGAGCGCTTCTCCTCGGACGCCCGCTATTTTCGGAGCGCTTTCTTCCTTCCCGGGTGTTGTCCTCACTCCTTCCTTCCCTTCCTGCCTCCCGCCGGCGGGCAGGGTGGTGAGCACAGGGCTGTGCTGGTGGCCGGTCAGCGCTGTGCTGGCAAGGAGGCTGGGCTCCCATCCCTCACCTCACCTCCCGGCTCCCCAGGACTGCAGCTCCTGGGATCGCCTTGGGTCTGGGTCTCTGGGACTCGCCCCGGCGGGCGGCGTCCCCTCCCCGGGGAGGGCCAGGTGCTGGGCCTCCCCCCCGCCTCCCAGCCTCCGGTCCCCGCTCTGTCCGCCGTTCGGAGGGGACTCCTCCACACGCCTGGCCGTGGACAGGCGACGTATGGGTGGGGTGACGGCGAGAGCGTGCAGCTGCTGCCACACGCGTCCGCCACAGCAGCGGGCGCTGCCACCCTCGGCCTCAGCCCCGACTCTTCCCACGTCCTCGGGGTGGGTGTCCCAGCAGCAGAGGCAGGAGCCTTAGGGCCTGTGGCTCACTGGGGTGTGAAGTGTCCAGGAGGGCGCTCTGTTCTCTGCCTGTCCCCCCACCCCCCACCACCTCCCAGGAGGCTTAGGCTGCCTGCCAGGTTTCGTGTCAGAGGTCAGAGGTCTGAGCGCGGTGCCGGGGGTCCAGCCGCACTGGGAGGCACGGTCCCCTCTGGATCCTGGCTTAGGACAGGAGTGGAGCTCCTCCTAGGAGGAGGATGGGGCAAGGGCGAGGGTCCCACAGCCTGGCCAGCGGCGGGCGGAGGCACTGGGCACATGGAAACGGTGAGGGGGAGTGTGGGCTGCCAGGGCGGCCCCCGTGGACCCCTGAGGCTGAGGATCCTGGTACGGGGCTGAGAGCGACGCCGGTGGGCCTCGCCGGGGAGGAGGCGGGCAGGCGGCACGGCGGGAGAGGGCCCGGCGTCAGACTGACAGCGGGGTTGGAATCCCGGGTCTTCCTCCACGTCCTGGGAGCAGCAGGCGGGTCGTGTCGCTTGTCGGAACCTGCTTTGTTACTGTGCCGTCTAGGGAGAGCCGGGTGACTCACCGAGGTGGCTCAGAGGACGGCTGTGTGCAAACAGCCAGGCCCCGTGCGGGGTGTGGTCGTGGGGGGCTGCGGGGAGGAGGCAGGCGATGGCAGCCCAGCCTGGGCCCGGCCCGAGCCTTCCCGTCTCCTCCGGCGGCGGCGGCGCCTGGTGCTGACCGTGTCCTTCGTCCCCTCGGCCAGGGCTGAGCACTACTGGTGGCGCGGGCAGAACACGCGGACGCTGTGCGTGGGGCCCTTCCCCCGGCACGTGGTGACCTCCGTGGCCGGCCTGTCGGCCCAGGACATCAGCCAGCCCCTGCAGAACAGCTTCATCCATACCGGCCATGGCGACAGCGACCCCCGCCACTGCTGGGGCTTCCCCGACAAGATCGACGAGTGAGTGCGGGCAGGCCGGGCGCCGGAGCTCCCCTGCCTGCCCCCCACCTGGGAGGGTGGGCTCCTTCCAGGTCCCTGGGGGCGTCTGGGGAAGCTGAGGAGCAGAATTAGTCACTTCCTGGGGGCCCTGCCCCAGGGCTCCCGCGAAGCTCCTCCTACCAGGCCTCCAGCCCTGCTGCCCGGGCCCCTCCCCACAACCTTCTCCTCTGGCTGCAGCCCCTCCCCGCAGCCTTCTCCTCTGGCTGCGGCCCCTCCCCGCAGCCTTCTCCTCTGGCTGCGGCCCCTCCCCGCAGCCTTCTCCTCTGGCTGCACTGCGGCCCCTCCCCGCAGCCTTCTCCTCTGGCTGCACTGCGGGCCCCTCCGCAGCCTTCTCCTCTGGCTGCACTGCGGGCCCCTCCGCAGCCTTCTCCTCTGGCTGCACTGCGGGCCCTCCCCGCAGCCTTCTCCTCTGGCTGCACTGCGGGCCCCTCTGCAGCCTTCTCCTCTGGCTGCGGCCCCTCCCCGCAGCCTTCTCCTCTGGCTGCGGGGCCCTCTGACTGCGGGCCCCTCTGGCACCTGCTGCCCCGAGGGTCGTGGCAAGGCAGACCCCTCAGCTCCATGCTCCCCACACCGCAACACGGTGTGTGTGTGTGTGTGTGTGTGTGTGTGTGTCTGTCTCACAGGAGCCCGGTGAGGGCTGGGTGTGTGTGTGTGTGTGTGTGTGTGTGTGTGTCTCTCACAGGAGCCCGGTGAGGGCCGGGTGTGTGTGTGTGTGTGTGTGTCGCTCACAGGAGCCCGGTGAGGGCCGGGTGTGTGTGTGTGTGTGTGTGTGTGTGTGTGTGTCGCTCACAGGAGCCCGTGAGGGCTGGGTGTGTGTGTGTGTGTGTGTGTGTGTGTGTGTGTCTGTCTCACAGGAGCCCGGTGAGGGCCGGGTGTGTGTGTGTGTGTGTGTGTGTGTGTCGCTCACAGGAGCCCGTGAGGGCTGGGTGTGTGTGTGTGTGTGTGTCGCTCACAGGAGCCCGTGAGGGCTGTGTGTGTGTGTGTGTGTGTGTGTGTCGCTCACAGGAGCCCGTTGAGGGTCGGGTGTGTGTGTGTGTGTGTGTGTGTGTGTGTGTCTCACAGGAGCCTGGTGAGGGCTGTGTGTGTGTGTGTGTGTGTGTGTGTCTGTCTCACAGGAGCCCGGTGAGTGCCGGGTGTGTGTGTGTGTGTGTGTGTGTGTGTGTGTCTGTCTCACAGGAGCCCGGTGAGTGCCGGGTGTGTGTGTGTTTGTGTGTGTGTGTGTGTGTGTGTGTCTGTCTCACAGGAGCCCGGTGAGTGCCGGGTGTGTGTGTGTTTGTGTGTGTGTGTGTGTGTGTGTGTGTGTGTCTGTCTCACAGGAGCCCGGTGAGTGCTGGGTGTGTGTGTGTTTGTGTGTGTGTGTGTGTGTGTGTGTGTGTGTGTGTGTGTCTGTCTCACAGGAGCCCGGTGAGTGCCGGGTGTGTGTGTGTTTGTGTGTGTGTGTGTGTGTGTGTGTGTGTGTCTGTCTCACAGGAGCCCGGTGAGTGCTGGGTGTGTGTGTGTTTGTGTGTGTGTGTGTGTGTGTGTGTGTGTGTGTGTGTGTCTGTCTCACAGGAGCCCGGTGAGTGCCGGGTGTGTGTGTGTGTGTGTGTGTGTGTGTGTGTGTGTGTGTCTGTCTCACAGGAGCCCGGTGAGTGCCGGGTGTGTGTGTGTTTGTGTGTGTGTGTGTGTGTGTGTGTGTCGCCCACAGGAGCCCGGGAGGGCCCGGAGGGTTGGGGCAGGAGAGCACAGCTCCCTCCCCGTGGGGCCGGCCGCCCTCTGCCCTGCTCCTGGCGTGCGGTGCCAGCCCAGCCCCATTCCTTCGGGCTTTCATCAGCCCCGGTGACTAAGTCCCAGATCCTGACAGTCGGCACAGGGGTGAGGGCCGCCCCTGGCAGTGGGGCAGAAGGATGTCTCCTGCCCACCCTGCCCGGGGAGCGCAGCCGGATGCTCCGGGCCTGGCAGGGGCGAAGACCGTGCCAGCAGGTGGCTGCCGGGTGTGGGTTGGGGCGCTGTGGGGGCTGCGGAGGGCCAGCTCTGCCCTTGTAGGGTGATGTTGGAGCCCCGACAGTCCTAGGCGTTTGACTCGCAGCCAGGAGGCCTCTCCCTGCCCTCTTGCCACAGCACCCTCCCCGGGGTGCATTCGGCTCTCCCGAAGGGAGCTGCCGGGAGCCAGAGCCCTGTGCCGCTGACCCGTGTCCGCAGGGCTTGGGGGAGGCGGGCCCTGGACGCCTGACCCGGGGGGCAGCCCCAGCAGCTCCCCCAGAGGGTCCTCACGGCCACACTCCTTGCCGGCGCCCCCCTGACCCCGTGCTCTCCCCGCAGACTGTACCTGGGAAACCCCATGGACCCTCCCGACCTGCTGAGCGTGGAACTGAGCGCCCCCCGCCCCACCCAGCACCTGGGCAGGGTGAAAAGTAAGAGCCCCCACTCCCTGGCGTCCCCTCGCTCACTGGCTGCCCGGGGGCACCGTCCTCAGGTCCGCTCTGAGCCGGCCGGCCGGCTCCGTGGTGGGGTCAGCACAGCAGGGACCGCCGTGTCCCTGGCTCCGGCTGGGTGGGGGTGGCCGCCGAGTCCGCCGAGGTGGCCCCTGGGTCAGCCCTCGCCGCGCTCGGAGCCGGGCCTTCCTCACACACACACACCCTCTCCTCTCCTGAGCCAAACCACCCCCCGGGCTTCATCTTGGCCAGGAGCCTCATCCACCCCCTGGATCCTGGGCCTGGCGTTCCGGATCAGCCCCCCATCCTGCCGCCCCATTGCTTCCCATCGTGCCGAGTTCCTCATCCACGCGCCCCTATTCACTGCTCGCCCTCTCTCCTCTCTCTCCCCGCCCTCTGCTCTCTGTCCGGCTCTGCCCCCCTCCCTGTCCTCTGTCCGTCCTGCTCTGCCCCCTCTCCCCTGTGCATGGCCCTTCCTGCAGGGGAGCGTCCGCCTCGCCCACCTCAGCCCGCCATCTTCGCGCAGAGTAAGTGGGGCCGCTCGGCGCCTCGGCCCCCGCCCCCTCTCCCTCTGTCCTCTCCTCTCTCCTCTCCTGGAAGGTACAGGCCCTGCGGCTGGCTGGGAGGGAGGGGAAGGAGCGTGCTGTGAGCTTTGGCTGCTGACCCGGCCCAGCATGCCCGCCTCTCCTTTCAACACCTCCCTACACCTCCCCCCCCCCCAAAAAAAAGCCGGGGCTTCTGGTGCAGGCGTGCAGTCCTGGTGCCTCCCTCTGCCTCTCCCCCTGCCTGGCCTGCCTCACGCCCTCTGCAGCCGGCAGAGGCCGGGCACGCAGGATGGCGGGCCAGGGGCTCCTGCTGCTCTTAGTGGTGGGAGGTTGCCCCCCCCCCCTCCCCGCCTGCACTAATGGTGTGGAAACGGGGCGGGAGAGGGGCTGCTAACCAGGGGCAGGGGCATTTGGGGTCCTGTGTGGATGGAGGGGCATCAGAGGCAGGTGGGGGTGGGTGTCCCTTGCTCCAGCGGGGGAGGCAGGGGCTTGCCCGCCCGTGCAGAGAGGGCTGGCAGCGTCCGGAGCAGCTGTGCCCTCCCGTCTGAATGGCGTTGTTGTGCGCTGAGAACCTGGCAGCCGAGGGCCAGTTCCCGGGGGAGCGGGTGGGGGACCCTGGGCTCTCTTCCCCGCACCCCGCCTCCCCCGTGCCCCCGCCTGACGCCGCCTCCCGTCCGGGTCTCCCGTCTGCCGCAGAACCAGCCTACGACCCCGTGAGCGAGGACCAAGACCCCTTGTCCAGCGACTCCAAGAGGCTGGGCGTGCGGAAGCCAGGCCTGCCCCGCGGGCTGTGGCTGGCCAAGCCCTCGGCCCGCGTGTCGGGCACCAAGACCGGCCGCGGCGCCGCTGCCGAGGTCACCCTCATCGACTTCGGCGAGGAGCCGGCGGCCCCGCGGCCCCGCACGCCCTCGCTGGCGCAGCTGGCCATGGACGCCTGCTCCCTGCTGGACAAGACGCCGCCGCAGAGCCCCACGCGGGCGCTGCCCCGGCCCCTGCACCCCACGCCCGTGGTGGACTGGGACGCCCGCCCGCTGCCCCCGCCGCCCGCCTACGACGACGTGGCCCAGGACGAGGACGAGGACGACTTCGAAGTGCGCTCCATCAACGGCGCCCCGGGGCCCGGCCCCGGCGAGGCCGACGCCGGCCTCGCGCCCGAGCCGCCGCGGCTGCTGGCCCCGCTGGAGGACAACCTGTTCCTCCCGCCCCAGGGCGGCGGCCGGCCCCCCAGCGCGGCCCAGACCGCGGAGATCTTCCAGGCCCTGCAGCGCGAGTGCATGCTGAGGCTGCAGGTCCCCGCCGGCCCGCGGGCCCTGGCGCCCAGCCCGGCGGGCGAGGACAAGCCCCAGGTGCCCCCCCGGGTGCCCATCCCCCCGAGGCCCACGCGCCCGCGCGGCGGCGGGGAGCTGTCTCCGGCCCCCTCGGGCGAGGAGGAGCCGGCGGGGTGGTGGCCCGGCCCCGCCTCCCCGCCCCGGGTGCCTCCCCGGGAGCCCCTGTCCCCTCAGGGCTCCAGGACCCCCAGCCCCCTGGTGCCGCGCGGCAGCTCCCCGCTGCCGCCCCGGCTCTCCAGTTCGCCCGGGAAGGCCATGCCCACCACCCAGAGCTTCGCCTCGGACCCCAAGTACGCCACCCCCCAGGTGATCCAGGCGCCCGGCCCGCGGGCCGGCCCCTGCATCCTGCCCATCGTCCGCGACGGCAAGAAGGTCAGCAGCACCCACTACTACCTGCTGCCCGAGCGCCCGCCCTACCTGGAGCGCTACCGGCGCTTCCTGCGGGAGGCGCAGAGCCCCGAGGAGCCCGCCCCCCTGCCCGTGCCCCTGCTGCCCCCGCCCGGCGCTCCGGCCCCCGCCGCCCCCACCGCCACCGTGCGGCCCATGCCCCAGGCCGCCCCGGACCCCAAGGCCAACTTCTCCGCCAACAACAGCAACCCGGGGGTCCGGCCGCCCGCCCCGAGGGCCACCGCCTGGCTGTCACAGCGGGGCTGCCCGGGGGACGGGCCGGAGGTTGTGCGGCCGACGGATAAGATCCAGATGGTGAGCATCGGGCCTGGCTGTCCGGTGGGGGGCGGGAGCCCGAGGGGCCCGGGGGAATGGGCCCCGCGGGTGCTGACCGGGGGCGGGTGTGCCCAGCTGCAGGCCATGGTGCATGGGGTGACCACAGAGGAGTGCCAGGCGGCCCTGCAGAGCCACAGCTGGAACGTGCAAAGGGCTGCCCAGTATCTGAAGGTACCACGACCGCCTGCCCGCTCTGGTTTTCAGGGACCCTGAGGACCGGCTCCGCCGCTCGCTCCCCCTCCTTGCCCCCGCTCTCCTCTGCCCCCCCCTCCTGGCTCCCGTGGCCCGTGTGTCCCACGCAGCCCTCTGCCCTCAGGTGGAGCAGCTCTTCGGGCTGGGTCTGCGGCCGCGGGGCGAGTGCCACAAAGTGCTGGAGATGTTCGACTGGAACCTGGAGCAGGCCGGCTGCCACCTCCTGGGCTCCTGTGGGCCCGCCCACCACAAGTGAGCGAGCCCCTTCCCTGCCACCTCCCTGCCCGCAGGGGTGTCCGCAGCCACACAGCCAGGGGCGGGGCACGGGTCCCAGAGGAGGAGGAGGAGGAGGAGGGCCCAGTCCCTGGATGCGGGTGGCTCGGGGCAAAAGCAGTTTCTCCGAAGGGCCTTCACGTAGACGGTTAGCCTTGTGGTTCAGATGAACTAACGAGTGGAAGAGGACGTTGGAGCCTCTCTGGTTTCTGAGCTTTGTTTCCCAGGTGCCCCAGCACCCTGAGCCACTCCGGGGGGGGGGGGGGGGCAGCTCTTTAGGACCCAGGGATTTAAATAGGCATTTCTCACCTCTGCACCTCATAGTTCAAAGTAACACTTAGAGCGTAAGCGCCTTTTTAAAGGAATGTGTAATCAAAAAAAGTCCATTACGTTTCTGTAAAAAACTGTAGGTATATCCTATCTAATGAAATAGATAATTGAAATAATTGAAATAATATGCAAGTTGACTATCACTCCAACACACAAGATGGCCGCCCCCATGTGGTCAAAGATGGCTGGCAGGGGAGGACCATTGTGGGCGATCAGGCCAGCAGGGGAGGGCAATTAGGGGGGACCAGGCCTGCAGGGGAGGGCATTTAGGGGGGACCAGGCCTGCAAGGGAGGGCAGTTGGGGGGGACCAGGCCTGCAAGGGAGGGCAGTTAGGGATGAACATGCCGGCAGAAGAGGGCAGTTAGGGATGAACACGCCGGCAGAAGAGGGCAGTTGGGGGTGACCAGGCCTTCAGGGGAGGGCAGTTGGTAGGGGGGACCAGGTCTGCAGGGAAGGACAGTTAGGGGTGACCAGGCTGGCAGGGGAGGGCAGTTAAGGGCAATCAGGTCAGCAGGGGAGCAGTTAGGCAGCGATCAGGTTGGCAGGGGAGTGGTTAGGGGGTGATCAGGCAGGCAGGCAGGCAGGTAGGTGAGCGGTTGGGAGGCAGCAGTCCTGGATTGTGAGAAGGATGTCCGACTGCTCATTTAGGCTCAATCCCATAAGGAGTCGCAGATTGGAGAGGGTGCAGGCTGGGCTGAGTAACACACCGCCCCCTCCGTGTACGAATTTCGTGCACTGGGCCTCTAGTGTACTATATATGATAGAATAATAGTTATAAAACAACATGTAGCAGTATGTAGTATAGATATGTACATGAAAGTCTTATAAAGTTAAAAAGTGGTGGAATGGGTAAATTCCAGCATCACTGTAGCGGGCGCGGGTGGGATGTGGGGTTTCAGAGCAGTTGGGCTGTGGTAGCAGACAGTCGGTTAGACCCCAGTGCCCGTTCACGTCGCGTCAGCTTACACCGGTGTCCCCACCTCTCGGCGCCCTCATCTGTGTTGGAATGACGCTGCCTGCGTCATTTCAGTTCCTTCAAGTAAAGAAAAAAGGCACCCCAGGATAAGCTCCAGAATTATTGCCTAGAACTATCAGTTTTCAACCGATTTGCCTGGCACAGAGATGCCCTTTCACACTGGGCACACTCCCGCACTGGGCACATTCTTGCACCGGGCACTCTACCATATCAGGCACGCTTCTGCACCGGGCACGCTCCCGCACCGGGCACTCTTACCACACCAGGCATGCTCCCGCACTGGGCACGCTCCATTCTGGGCACGCTCCCGCACCGGGCACAGTTGATGGACGGTTTCTGGTTGTTTTTCCTCGTTAGGCGCTGAGCTGTCTGGAGAGCCAGGACATGTGCCCTGAAGGAATCACTTGAGCCTGTCTGTCTGACACGGTGGGGAGATGCCCTCCCAGGCCTGGAGAACCTGCGGACACCCACTGGCAGAGCGAGGCTGAGGCAGCAGGCGGCTAGGAGCCCCGCCTCGCCTGCCCCTCCCTCACCCAGCACCATCCCAGCGACTTCAGTTCAGCCCAGGGCCCCGGGCCGAGGTGCAAGACGTTGCTGTGAAGGCTCGCACGGGGGTGGCCCCAGCAGGCCTGCGGCTGGCGTGCCTCTGGTGCATCCACCCTGGTGGGGCTGCCGCCGGAGTGTCCCCCCACGTCCTGCCCAGGGGGAAGCCAGGCTAGGCCTTGGGCGGGAGGATGTGTTGGCCACACTGAAAGGTGGACTAGCATGCGGCTCGCCTTGTCCAGAGAGCCCCTGGGTTCTGGGGTGTCGGACAGGAGGTAACGGTGGCCTCGCCGTAGACAGTGTTTTGGGACTGTGCCTGGAAATGGCCTGCAGTGGCCCAGGAAGAGAGCATCGGTGCCAGTCGTTCTCTGGCAGGGACCAGGGCCCACGGCCCCAGGTTGGAAGGAGACCAAAGGGGTAGTTTCCCGGGACGGGTACTAGAGCTTCCTCCCACCCAGCTCTTCCCCTGTGCTGTGCCCCCTTCCCACCCGTCTCTGTCGCCAAAGTCGCTGCCCCAGCTACGGATACCTGCTTCTTCCAGAGAAATAAAATTAGTTTCTATTTTATGTTACTTCCTTGGGCCTGCCTGTGTCTTTGCCTCTTGGTCAGCCGCCTGAGGCCTCAGAGCGCCACCTGTGGGCAGAGGAAGGAAGTGCAGGGCTGGTGGACCTAAGGGTTTCTCCCTTTCCTGAACTGGCCGAGGGGCAGAGCCCCCGCTGGCTCACAGTCCACGTGTTTTTGCTGCAGATATGTAAGGCAGGATATACTGCAGGAGAGAGTGCAGTAACTGCATTCGCTGGAGCTCAGCCAGAAACTTCAGTAACAAGCAAAGCTTCAATGTGGATAAATATTTTAATTTTGTGTTTCTGACTACCTGATACTTTATATGGCTCAGAATTCAAAAGGTACTGAAGAGTATACAGTGAAGTCTCCCACCACAGCTACCACCTCCCCCGCTCCTCCTAAGCTGATCTGATCATCAGTTTCTCGTGTGTGTGTGTGTGTGTGTGTGTGTCCCACTTAGCAGTATTTAAAAATATATATTTTATTGATTTTTTCACAGAGAGGAAGAGAGGGATAGAGAGTTAGAAACATCGATGAGAAAGAAACATCAATTAGCTGCTGCTTGCACACCTCATACTGGGCTGTGCCCATAACCAAGGTACATGCCCTTGACTGGAATCAAACCTGGGACCCTTCAGTCTGCAGGTTGATGCTCTATCCTCTGAGCCAAACCAGTTTCGGCTTAACAGTATTTTGAAGAGTTCCCTAGCCACTGAAAGTGTCACTGTCCTTGGTTGGGGGGGCACGCGTGTATGGATATACCATAATCTAACCAGGCCCCGTTTGATGAAGGGATATTTTGGTTGTTTCTAATCCTTTGCAATTGCAACCACTGCTGCAATAAATAGCATATGCGGTTATTTTTCACCTCCAGCTGAAGGTTGGGTTTCCAGGAATGGGACTCCCGAGTGGGAGAATGTGTGCAGTAATGATGGGTCTTGCTGAATTGCTCTCTTTAGAAGGGCTGGTTCCAGCACTCACAGCCACTGGGGTGTGAGAGCATTTGTGGAGTTTTCTGGTTTTAGCCAGTGCAACAGGTGAAAAACGCATGTGTCTCTAAAGCTTCAATCTGCATTTCTCAAACGAATGAACATAAAAAAAACACACACACACAAAAAACTTAGACCATTTATATTTCCTATGAGTTACCTATTACTACCCTAGGCCCATTTAAAAAAAAGTTTGATGATTAACCTGTTTCTGACTGGTTTTTAGGAAATGACTAGATCAAAGCAATTAGTCCTCTGAGCTTCACCCTATTCCCTGAGTTTTAAGAAAAGAGGTAAATCATAAGGAGGGGAGACGATGGCTTAGGTTGTTAAAAATACAACGAAGGCCCTTCAGGATGAGGATGGTCTTTGTGTGTCTGGCCCCAGGTTGGTCTATGTGGTGGGCCGTGAAGCTTGGGAGCTCCGGAGCCTTCAGATTCACCAAGAAAGGAATTAAATTATGTTTAACTGAGATTTTTAAAATGTCAAATGTGATATAAAAGGGAAAAGTTAGTATTAAGTAACTTTTGGGCATTGCTATTAGACCTGGGTTCCTTTCTCAGCTGTTTGATCTTGGGAAAGTTACTTAACCTTTCTGAGCTTATAGACTGGGGGAGTAATTCCTGCTGTATACGGTCGGAGGTCGTTTGGATAGAACATTGTGCCTAGTACATAGACCATGCTAAGTATTCAGTAAATGGTATTCATTATATGTTCTATTTCTCCATGCTCATGCCTTTCTCTACCGATCAATAGCTTACATTATACCCTGACCACAACTCTGTATACAGGGTTGTTTTTTTCGCATTTCCCCTTATTATGTTGTTCATTTTCACATTTTCTCCATTGATTTTCAGTGAGAGTGGAAGGAAGGGGGAAGAGAGAAACATCGACGTGAGAGACACATCAATTGGTTGCCTCCTGCAAGTGTCCCAACCAAGGCCAGGAATCCTGTCTGTAACCGAGGTACATGCCCTTGACCAGAATCTAACCTGGGACTCTTCACTCCACAGGCCATTGCTCTGTCCACTGAGACAAACTGGCTAGGGCCTCCCTTATTAAAAAAAAAAAAAAGTCAATTTGTTTTTTGCTACAATGTCATTCCTATTTTACAGATCATGGATGCTTTCGACTATTTAAAAAAAAAAAGGTTTTTTTTGTTTGTTTTTTAATAAATGATGGCAGAGGTAATATTATACATTCCAGAAAGCATCTGGTCCTTCAGGGGATCAGGAAACCCAATGCATTTTTCTTGTCAGACACAGCTCTCCAGACCCCAGGGTTTCCTGCTGTTTTTCTCACTTAGCCTTAGCTGGTTGCTCAGTTGTTAGAGCTCAGCCCCAGGACTAAAGGGTCCCAGGTTCGATTCCAGTCAAGGGTATGTACTTGGGTGGCAGGTTTGATCCGTGGCCCCAGGTCAGGGCACTTGCAGGAGGCGGCCAATGGATGTTTCTCTGTCTTTACCCCTCCCTTCCACTCTAAAAATCGATAGGAAAGAATACCCTTGGCTGAGCATTAACAAAAGAAGTAAAAGTTGAAATCTTAAAAAAAAAAATCAGCCTGCTAGCTTTTGCCAGAATTTCCTGGGTTATTGAAAAGATCTTAAGGGAGGATGTCAAAAAGCTGACGGGTTGGTTTGCCAATGTGGAGAATCCAATCAGCGAGGAGGCATCGGACCCCTTTGTCAGGCCCTGAGGCGGGGATATGAGGGGAGTTGTGTGTGCCCCAGCAGCCTGGCATCACAGAGAAGAGGAGTGCCCCCAGGCCATTGTGTGCCAGGTGCCTTGAGAGCAGAGGAGGTGGCTCCGGGAGGGGTTGACGCTGTGCTGACTGGATGGGGGAATGGGCATTCGCCAGGCAGGTGAGGGCAGGAGAATATGGCAGGTGGAGGGAGTTGCAAGTTAAAAGCTTGGCAGTGCAAACTGGCTCCGTGCTGATGGTTAGCAAAGCCAGCACCCGTTCTTTTGTGCTTTGCTTGTGGGTTAGAGGTGGTTTGTCATGTGGTCCTGGCGAGTGGGGCAGGCCTGGACCATGAAGCCATGGTGTGAAATGGTGAGTTTTTAGAGCATCGGTCTGCGGACTGAAAGGTCCCGGGTTTGATGCCGGTCAAGGGCATGTACCTTGGTTGTGGGCACATCCTCAATAGGGACAGGTGTGCAGGAGGCAGCTGATGGATGTTTCTCTCTCATAAATGTTTCTATCTCTCTCCCTTCTTCTCTGTAAAAAATCAATAAAATATATTTAACAAAAAAAAGAAAAGAAATGCTGAGTTTTCTGACTTGATAGACAAAAGGAGACAGAAAATGAGAATAAGAGCAACAATGTGCTTTTAAGAGAGATGACTCCGCTTAAAAGAGGCTCGCTGCTCCACTCAGCCTGAGTGGAGGGAAGCCTGAGTGTCCCAGTGCACGCTGGAACACAAAGGTACTCGTCATTTGAAGCAAATTCATTTTCACAGAAATTTGAACTTGGGGGATCCTTGCCCAGAGCAGGGTTCCTGGAGTCTAGACCAGGGCCAGTGCTGATCTAGGTTCAAGTTTTCACAGGCCTGAGGTGACATAAAAATAATGAGAGCCACACAGTTGAGTTTTTCTGAAAATGGAACATATTGCATTTCAAGGACTGTACGCAAAGATTTTTGTCTTCCTACGGTTTTGGGTATTGAAATGACAGTAGTGGTCAGTGGAAATTTGCCCCCATGCCTTTAGGTGGCAGTGCTATGCCAGTCAGCATGCCCGCTCCAGCAATTACTACTTTAATGGTCCCTCAAGTGGATCTTCGGATTCCTTGGACAGAGTGCTTTTGTGTGAGGCAGCGCCACCTGTTGGCACCATGTGACTTTGCAGCCTCAGGAGGGATAAGATTGTGTCAAGTCTTTGCCCAATCAATCAGTTAAGTCCAAAAGCTGCTGGCCCAGGCTCATGGGCACATAAAGGGATCTATCCCAGGGAGCCGGGAGGGAAAGGAACACCATCTGGAGGCAAGCCACAGCCAACTCGTCAGGCCAAGAAAAGGGACGAGGTTGGGGACTCTGAGGGAGGCAAGCCCTAAACCCGGAGAGAAGCCAGGGGCTCTCTGGGAGAGGCTATAGGCTATGGAAGCCCACACAACCGCTTGCCCATGAAAAGGCCCTTCGTGAAGCAACACCACTATTTTCCTTTCGATGTTTTTATTATTGTCCCACCTGCTCATGGTTGAATTGGACTATTTGGAAAAGCACAGTGAGAAAATTTAAACTACGCAGAAAGCCACTTGGAATTTTGAAATA